GGGAACTCAATTGAACACAGCCGTTAGTGCCCAATTCTTGCAGATGAGAGCTACAAAATGGCTAAGGTCTCCCGTTCTTCAGCTCTCCTTTGGTATTATGGGCCATCCCTTGTCAAAAGCTGCAATGCTAGCTTCATCCCGGATGCATCCTAACCCTAACAAACAATGTAAACATGTGAGATGTCTGAACCAATGTAGTTTGGTCGCCATGGAGAGGTGTTGTAAATGAGACACACAGCCTTTTATGGTGCCCTTCACATTGTTGTTATTAGAAAAGGTTTCTCTTCTGACAATTTAATACAGTATATGAGAACGTTTCTCTACCTTCATTAATACAACGCGAGCAACACTTGATGGTTCCCAAAAAAAAAAGAGATGCTAGACACCGAAAAAAATTAGAGGGATGTCATTTGTTCTACTGATCTTGTTACTCGTGCCAAATGACTATAGTTTGTAACTTTGTATAAAAGGAATGAAAGCTGATTTATATGTTCATTGGATATGGTCATGTTTGAAGCAAGAGATGATCCACCTGTCTGGAATGTGGAAAAATCTAAATTGTTATATTTTAGTGTTTTCTGATATATTACATCGACCCTCTCATGGGATATATATAGAAGTACATAGGAGATAGAGACTTGGAGTACAATACAAGAAAGAAAGAGTAGATTTATCTCTAGGATTCTATCTCTAGAACTCTATTTTATCTCTAGGATATATCTTATCTCTATATTTGTATTTTACTCTTATCTCTAACTAACATATTCATACTTCTAACATGCAAGATGGAGGCTATCTTTTGCTCAGTTCAAGGAAGCGAACATAAGTAGCTTGGGCTAAATTCCTCATGCTTCTCAATCCTATAAACTGCACCATTTATTACGCCACTGTAATTTGCATGAGACCTATTGCAGTTGGTAGCTAACTGTACAAATCTTTACGAGCGTTTGGCCTGAACATTCATGGACATATATAGGGGGGGGGGGGGAGGGGGGGTCATAAAAAATGAGGTGGCCCTCTGTATGACGATTACAGTGGCCATGTGTCCATACTGGCTTCGAATTGCTATTTGATTCTAACTGTCAATTTTTCGGCTTTCTTATTGAATGCTCCCATATGTCATTTTTAGATATCTTCGAATGGAAGTTAATTCTGGATTTATTCATTCTCACCCAGAGTAAGTTTAATAACGTAGACTATAAATGCACGCTAAATTATCTGAAGATAACTCTGTAGATAGATAGAGTATATATGCAATAAGCAACTCCTAACACAAGATACGTAATTTGCTAGCATGCTATCCTTCAGAGCTATGAGGTCGTGACATGAAACCTGTATGGTGCATTTTGACACGTATGTATATAGTCCAGAATTTATCGGCAGGCAAGTTATTATGTTGTTGAAGACTCTTGAGGTACAAAACAATCAGAACTATGTGGTTCTTGGTCATGCACTTTAGTGTACTTTCGGCCTTGACAGTTTCTGTCGTTTTTTCTTGTAAACTTTATTTCTTCTGGATATATTCGGAGGTCCTCCTTCAGCCTTCCCGGCGAATATAGTGTTGCAACCATTAGTGCAATTGGCTGAATCGGTGTGATCGACATGAGGTCGTCAGTGATACATGGTTTGTAACAATAGGGAAATCCTTTACTTTTTTGTCTGGTCAAGATATTTTTGGTACATACTATAACTTTAACATAAGAATGCTGTGTAAACCACAAAACTTCTCACTAGTGGAGCGTTTAAAACCGAGCAACATCATAAGAGAAATGCAGTGGCCAAAGACTAGGAAATACTGACATTAAACATGCTGGACTCAAGAGATCATTCGAGCATCAGTCCTAAGGCCAGCCCTAACCCAAGACACTAGATATTTGTCTTTTTATAGTAGTGAGTCAGCACCAGTTTCCAAGGTCCAACGACGACAGCAGCACTCACTATAGTGATAACGGGATTTTCTCTCATAGTGACGGCTCCTGATCCATATTTGGAGACCACTCGATAAACCAGCCAAGTTAAAAAAATCAAACTAATTAAGATTTAAACTCTTGACAAAATTTATCTAAATTTCATCGATTTTCATCGATAACCTCTCAGTCATCATTATTATCGATGAATACACTAGGGAGGGTTATTCGTCTACTGATCACATTGTGAAACCTCTTGTTTGTTTGACCGGGCAAGAATTTGTCTAGTGAGCTAGCTGTAAGGTGGTGACATATGTTTGCATGCATGGTTTGTATTGTGAAGTATATGCAAGTGCAATGAAGTTAAATTAGCTGTAGCCGGCCGGTAGGCTAGGTATATATTGTGCTTATTAAGGACACATTAATGAAGCCCAGATTTGAACTAAGAAATGGTGTTAGCACGACAAATTCCTATACATACTGTCAGAAAATACCATTAGGGGTAGTTTGTAGATTTTGTGGTGGATGGTAGCGTTATGCATCTAATATATGTGTGCACTAAGAAATTCCGTTCTCTTGTTGTGATAACAATGTTATGTCGAACTCCAGATTTCTTACCACTAGTTGAGTGGTGAAGAAGGACAAGAGCAAAAGTAGCCGCAGACTGGATCGAGTAAACTTGATGTGTGCATTTGTGCAAGAGACGAAAAGCAGTGGATTCCAGGGTATTTCCTTGCACACCAGAGATCCAAAATGGCTATCCCTCTCATTTTTAGCTCTCTTTTGGTATTACCGATCATCCCTTGTAAAAAGCTCTCTTCATCCGGATGTCTCCTAACCCAAAACATGTAAAATGAGATATATATATCTGCACATATATACTCCAGTTTTTTATTGATTACTGCACCAACTAGATTGATCGCCAATTCAACATGCATGTAGTGTTTTTTTTTCTTAAAGAGTCTTAGAGAGGTGTTGGAAAGGAGGTACATGCGTGCACAATCTTCAGTCTTTTATATGTGTCATTCTAGTTGTTGTTACCACTACTCCATCTCTTCTCAATCTTAAATAAATGAAAGCTATTTATCTATAACTTCCATTAATACAATGGCAACAATGTTAGCTAGCTAAACCTTTCATAAGAAAAATGAAAAAAAGAGGTAGATAATAGTGTCTTTGATTTGTATAAAATACATAAATGGGCTCAGTCCCAAATGAGGCAGCCAAGAAGAAACCAAATTAAAGGAGAGAGACCAACTAGCCACCACGCTTACGCCCAAATCCAATACAAACGGTCGGATCTCTTTTTCTTCCTTCCTCTAGAAACTTCCTCTGCCCTTGCATATGCCATTACACTAGCTTGCTTGTCTAGACCACTCAGTCACTCAGACTATGTTTCCGTTCAAAGGCACCCACTGCAGAAGGCCTCGACTCTTTTGCATATATGCAGGCAAGACACTAGTAGAGGCTGAGGTGGAGTTTCATGTAATTCAATATTATGCCTCAACTATTCAGCTGTTTGGGAGGATTGAAGGTGTTTTTTTTTCTAATTTCAATGAGCAGAAGGTTTAGTTGGATCTATGTTCTTGATACCTCTCAATCCTATAAACTGAGCCATGGATAACATAATGCCTTTTTCGAGGGACCTATCTTGCAGTTGATAGCTGACTATGCAAATGCTTACAAGAGTTTGGCATGAAAATGATGGACATATAGAGGTTGGGTGCTATCTGCCATAGCAACAGTGGTGGCACTCAAACTATATATGGAGAGTTCTCTAGGGAGCCAATATTAATATACCACTTAAAGTGGCCATGTGTTAATGCTGGCTTTGAATTGCCATTTGATTCTCATTAATTTGTCAACTTTTTTATTGAATGCCCGGGATTTTGTCGACAATCTTCATGCAGATATTAATTTCCACTTATAGTTTTTAGGATCGTAGGAGAATGAACGACTTTGATCCATAGGATTTTTTTCCTATAGAGGTCCCTTACCAAAGGATTCGAACTTGTTAAATTCTACAGGAATGCATTTCTATGCCTCAATCTCATAGCATTTTAAACATGTGCTCTAACCTAATTGTTTTTCTTTCCTTTAAGAAGTCCGATACAAATTCTCTCTCTAATATAAGTAGCATATAATATAATTTTTTTTTTATTTTTTCTATGAGCCAACCAAATATATATTCTGACTTTTGAGTAATTTATGCGGTTTTGTTTCATGTAGTATTTAACATGTGATATTTCAATCATGCGCTTTTTCTATACCTACATTTTTACATTCTTGCTTCCTCAACGACTCCTTATTCATTCTCACTAAGGGCATGTTTGGAAGTCCAGTTTCCACCCAAAACTAGTTTAAAGTTCCGGCCCGAATTATTGTACTGGGGAGGGGATACAAAATGGCTTTGCTCTGATGGGAGTGTAATACACTAAATTTTAGACCGCTTCAATCCATTACACTCAGGTAACTAAGATCGCCTCAGCAAGTCAGCAGGCCACATTTTTTTATTATAAATGTCGAGTCCTCTCTCATTGGCTCCTCCGTGCTGTTCTCCGATTTGCTCAGCCATGTGTTCCACGGCGACCCTCCTCTATACCCTCACCTTACTCCAAGCCAATTCAATCCATGCTATTGGCCTCATCCTAGACTCTCTAGTGCCCTAGATTCTCACTAGCTTGCTTAGTACCACCTGTGTCGTGTAGTCCTAGTCCTAGATCTGCATTGCCAATGTCATTGTAGCCTCACTTCTCATCACCAGCATCATCCCATCCTCGATCCACATGTACAATATCATCTCGACATCTCTTCAAAGATAGGAGTCCCTTCGATTTGTGATATTGCATAATTGGGCCTTAGGCTCAAATGGGCAGACAAGAAGAAACCAAAAAGAGAGACCCACCACACCTAAATCCAATCCAATTATGCGGATCTCTTCTCCTTTTTCCCAAGAATCCTCCATTGCTTCCTGCGCTGCGATGCTGGCTTGCTTGCCAAGCCATGGCATCGCCACAGTTCCATTCACGTCAGCCAGCCGTGAATGGAACTGAATCGCCACAGTTCCATTCAAGTGCATAAAATTGATGCAAATTGGTCACTGAATCGGCATACGAAGAGAATGAGATTTAATTTACAATGTTGAGATAGAAATGCACCTAAATGTTCATTTGAACATATACAATTCAATCAGGAAAGCAACCCCAATTCATTGCACATGGTATTCTAGCGTACCGAGTTGGTCGATTTACTGGATTGCTGTGAAGATATGATAGGTGTAAAAATCAGGATTAGCCTCTTGACAATATGATTAATAACCGAGTAAGTTGAAAACTTTATAAAACATAAATGGTATCTCACCTTTAGCAGACTTGAACCTTTAAGCAAAGCTAGTAGAACTGCAACTCAATCCTAGCAAGTAGCAACATGACTGCCTTCCTCTCATCCTCTGGATAAGGCTAGCCTACATGAAGGCCATATTTATAGCATCTCTAACCCTGTATTCCAAGAAATCTATATATATTTTGAAACCGAATTCATACTGAAATTTGTGGTTTGAGCTCGTTAGGTGTACACCAAATTTGAGAAACGTGGTGTACTTTGCCCAGCATCCATTGGGTAAGACCTTTGTTTTTTATTTCAATCAACAGAGCTACTGGTTAAATATTTTCAAATTATTGAAACTTTGCAAATTCAATCATGATGGATACTGAATACTTTCTGACGTAAACATGCCCTTGCTGAAAAAAAACAATGGCTCCTACGTTCACGTGCACGTAAACCCTCCACGGCTTAACGTACGTCTCGCGTGCAACGACATTATGAGCAGTGAGCATAGAATGGGTGTGGTTTCCTGACGTAGGCGTAATTGGTGGTGCGTAACCCATTCACCAGTCCATCCTGCGCTCACGTACGCGTAAACCGTGCACGGCCTACGCGTACTGGGTGGATCGAGATTCAGGTGGTGTCTACATGGTTCACGCCTACCCGTGGAACGCGGGCGTAAACCATTCCATCCTACGCTCGAAAGCTTTAAAAAAAGGGTGCACATCGAGCCTACACATATCTTTGGGGAGGGAGAGTATTATGTTTACGTCTGAAATACCATATTTACTCTCCAAATGTAAGGTGTACCTAGATCGATATATGTTCACCATGCAGGGAAGGGGGAGTGATGGATTGTGCTGGGCTCCTGGCGTGCTGCGTCTACACAGTGACACAAATACGATGATACCATCGTCTTATTGCTCCTCCCCGTCGTCTTCCCTACCACTTCTTAGGGGACCTGTGTATTCATGTGAATTATAGTTAGGCCTATTTAGGGAAGCTTTCAGTAGCTACAGCTTCTTCTAGAATGTCATGCACCAAACAATCCAAATTCTCGCATATATTCTCTGGCATAGTTTCTCCAAAGAATCTCAAGCCCCCTCCAATAGAGCCTTAGCCTTAGAAACTTTTCACAAATGTGTACACTACTGTACTACATGAATTAAACTGTTTTTTTTTGGTTGAAATGCTCCGAAAGATTAATGCATGCAGGATGCCTGAAAAGTTTTGAGGCTCCAAATGCCAGTTTGGTACTCTGAACTCTGCAGGGTAGCCTTCCCGTGTAGCCTGTAGGCAATGGTAGCAACTAGCAAGGCACCAGCTTTCCAAAGAGGCTGGAATGCAAATGCAATGGGACAAACAATACACGACGTACTTAAGTATACATTACTAGTATGGCATACAGCAGAGAGAAAGCTCGCCATCTTTCTACTTGGCACAATCTTATTGTACTTTCCCGTTTTCACTTTCACCGAGTAAATTATCATGGCTAGGAGGAACACAGCCTTTTCATCATTAAAAGAGGCAGGAGGAGCAGATCAGCTCTACAACTCCACTCCAGACTCAACTCCTAGAACTAAATTTAGAAGTTAGAACTGTACCAAACAGACCCTTAGATCTTAGATCTGTAAAGTAACGCAACTGTGTGGATAGCCTGAATTGCTCAGTAGGGAGTATTAGTAGTAGTATTTGCAGTGAAAACCATACGTGTTTACGGTGAAAACAGCAGTGACGGGCCGGCATTGAAGACGATAGGTCAGGAGGCAGCGGCGGATGGGGCGGCGTTTGTTTTCTTCTTGCATTGACGCCCATTGCCTGAAAATTCCAACTCCATGTTCCTGAATTCAGAGACAATTTGCACCTTTCCTGCTTCATGCTCTTGACTTTTGGTAGTGGTACAGTTTTTGATTATCTGGTGAACCTTCTATTTCAATTGCATCGTTTGTTTTTATAGATCACATAAGAACATAACAGGAAGATGAATACACATAAAGTTAACTGATTCTTCAGAAATATGCTGTCTCTCAATGCTCCAACGCTACCAAATGGACAGGTGATTATTATCACTGAAAACACATTAAGTCATAAGCCACAACATTTTCTGATACTGCAAGTTTATCATTCTTGAACATCATCATGATTGATGAGTGGCACATGAAGCTCACATCACACACGATTATAAACCATAGACAAGCGTTGGTATCTTTTCAGTGGTGTACACACAGGATATCTTACTGTGGGGTAGAATGATCTTTCATGTTGGCTTCTCGTAGCTGTTTTGGTCTCTGAACTCTGATATCTTACCTCTGATCATCTCCGCCACATGAGGCTGCACAAACATGTGTGTAGGGTCAAGCATGTGCAGGATGAACTTGTCCGAAGCGGGCATTGAAGCATTCAGATTAACAATGAACTGTGCCATCGGTACATCGCTGGAAAAAAAAAGGATTTATGAGTTGATTGTGCAAACTACATAGAGGTGAAGAAAAACGAGCTAAATTTTATCGATTGTAAAAGGACCTTACCAGGAGATGAACAACCCCTTTATTGCATTAACCATGTTTCTGCTCTTTGGAGAACAGAATGCCACCTGATCATTTAATCAGCAAACCACACAGCCATGTCAGTGGAGAATCAGAAGTACTGGAAACCTTCCCCAACAATCAGACTCTAAAACAGTGATGCAGTGATCTTTTAAAGCACGGTAAAAGATTGCAAGTGAGGAGATAATGGAGATAGAAACCTTACTGCCTTCTAACAAGGATAATTATGAGATGAGATCATATAATGAATGACAAGCATCCAACCTAAATAAGTTATGCTTAAATTGCTTACTGCTACCACACAGGTACATAATACAAAGGTGTGAGCTATGCTTGAAGAGGCAATAAGTTTAAATCATACTCCACTACCGAAAGTTGGTAACTAACAAAAATATGCAAAACATTGTAGTGGCCAGTGATTGTGCTCCCGTGTCCAGGGGCGGATCCAACTTGGGAACTTTTTGGGGAACAAACAAACTGATCTAGAAGAGAAGCTAGGGTTAACGAACGAACGCAAGCAAATTCTAGTCCCGATGGGAATGGGGGAGAGAGAGATGAATCAGAAAGAAAGAGGATGTGGATGCTCACCATGATCCTCTCCCCTGCTCTGCTCGCCCGATGGAGATCGCCGGCCACGACTCGTCCCGGCGGCGCAAGGAGCGGAGGAGAATGCTCACAAGTGTCAAGACTTGCAGTAGTATGTTGAGCTTGCTGTACTACAATAGTTAGATTGGCAGTTGAACATTAGTGAAGTAGTAAGGAACATGATTGAACTGAAGAGCAAAAGAGCGAACTCTTCTGAATACAAATATTTCACTTGAATCAAATTATTCGTATAATGTCATGTGGGTTTTGTACAAGAAACCATACCGGTACAGTAGGCTGTGACGGCTGCCGCGCGACGTGGTGCTAGCTGGACGGGCGGGGCGGCGAGGCGATGCGGCGCGCGCCGCCGTCGGAGAAGCCCCGGTGCCGGGCGACGCGGTGCTGGGCCGGACCGGCGGCGGGGCGATGCGGCTTGAGCACGGGCGGCGCGCGACGGCGGCGTCGGCCCGGCGGCGCAAATCGCCTGCAGGGCTTCGGTCTCGCGAGAAGGGGAACGGGAAAGAAACGGAATAATTAATTATTTGCCACTCTTACATATGGTGATAAATAATTTGCCACTGGATCCACATGTCATAGACACATGAGGGCCCATATATCATAAACAGCAAGTGGCAAATAATTAATTGACACATCTTAAAAGTGGCCCAAAGTTAAATGTCCCGAAAGAAACAGCCAATCGTTTTTTTCCGTAATGGCATAGGCGGTAATTTTTTCCCCTCAAAAGCCAGTAAAAACAGGGGTATGGACTGTTTTTGGATTTGTACTAAGAGCAAGGTTAATAATACAGTTGACCTGTTGGCTATAAGGTTTCTTATAGTATTTTCTCAGCCTACCCATATAATAACTAGCTCTTTACAATTAATATAGGGTCCACTTGTCTCTCACAGAATTTCTTGAATTTCTTGGTTCTTTTGTCTAAGCCGGCTATAAGTTTATAGCCCGCTTCTTCTCTCTCCTCACTTTTCTCCTCCACCTCAGCATTTAGCCAGCTTATAGCCTAATATTATACTTGCTCTAAGCAGCTTTAGAGTAAAAGCACTTGTGGCTTTTGGACTATTTGGTTGGTTTTTGATTTTTGTAAAAGCAAAAACACGTTGAAAAGCCCACCCAAGCCCACCCTAAAACAAATATTTTGGTGCATGCATCGTAGTAAAATTATAAATTGTAGGAGTTTGAAAAATTATAGATTTCTAATGACCTAAAATTACACAATGTACATTGTTTAATTGTTGACAGCCAAGCTTATTACCCCCATCGATGCCCTCAAGCAGCTGGTTGAACCTGTGAGAATCCGATCGGCTTATCCTCTTACTCTTCTCCCTCAGCTTATCATCCAAACCTAAAAGCGTGGATCTCCTATTACCTGCATTTTGAACCTTATTATTCATACTTTTATATATGTCCAAGTTGTGCAACTTTCTATTTACAGATTTACACAATTCCAAATAGAGACAAAAACTATATTTATATGGACTATTTTAGATGCTGACGATAGGATTAGTTTTCATACGCTGTATGGACTTGTTGCTTTGTTCCACAGGTTTCAAAATAAAACGATAACCGAGCCGGTCCATATATAAAAACTGTTCGATAAACCGGCTAAGTTCAACAAAATTTCAGACTAAACTTCAAGTTCTGATCACATTTCCAAATTCTGTTTGCAATTGGGCAAGATTTTGCCTTGAGAACTTTTGTGGTGACATAAATGTGCATCATGTTTAATTAGCTGTAGGCTAGCTAGCTATGTGCTTAATAAGTACACAATGAAGCACACAGTGAACTACGAAATGATTTGAACGACATATATATTCATGTACATACGGCACAAAATACCATTGGGCCCCATTTGTGTGTGTTTTGGTTGTGTGCATTCTACTTATGTAGAAATCGGAGTGTGCTCAGTGCCTTTTTATTATGTTGATGTAATTTACTGGGTTCAATAAAACCTTTCATTCCTAATAGAGTTAAAACACATGGCAAACAACCAACTATGTAGTCGATGAAGATAAAGTGTTTTTGACAGAAACTGTAGTTTATACGGCAAGCATGTTTAGAATTTAGACCGATTTTGGCACTGTAACTCCACTTAACCATGCATGTTTGATATAAATTTGATTACACTTTTGAGAGGGTTGATTGCGCCCAGTACTTCTCTATTTTCATCCTCTGCTTCCAATAGAGGCTAAAATCTACCTGTTGTGAAGAACAGAGGAAGATTTGAATTTCATGAAGCTAACATATATCCAGGGGAGGAGCTACAGTACAACCACCGGAGTCAGGTGACCCTCTGACAATGTTCTACAAACTTGTGTATTAGGTCAATGCTTATGACAACTAATTCCAAATGTCACAAGCGAATGATTAACTATTGACACCGGCGGCTTGATTTCTTGGCTGCAGCCATCAAGATACCTGTTGAGGCTAATATCCTGGCTGATACCTCTCAATCCTATAAACTGCACCATGAATAAAGTTTCATGGATTTAAATTGCTATCTTTGCATGAGACCAACTGGAGTGGATAACTCATCGTGCAAATGAATTAAAGAGTTTGGCTAGAACACATCATGGGGGTATATATATATATATATATATATATATATATATATATATATATATATATATATATATATATGGGTCGGGTGCTATCTACCACAATAACAAAGGTGGCATTCAGGTACAAAGAGTTCAATAAGTGAATAACAAGCCAAAATTAGCATACCATTACAGTGTGGTCAGTGCTGGATTTAAATTGCTTTGATTCTCCTATTCTTTTGTTAGCTTTTTTTTATTGAATAGCCATGTGGTACGGGATTTAATTCCCACTTATGTATTTTCATTTACAGCAAGTTCAATTAGCACCAAAGGTTAAAAGTATGTGCCAAGTCATCTGAAGATAACTTCGTAGATAGATAGAGTATATAATAAGGTTGCGTTCGTTTGTGCCGGTTTGGAACCTTTCCTTCTGGCATGGAAAACAGAACAACTCATTAGCACATAATTAATAAAGTATTAGCTAAAACTAACTTGAAAAGTTGATTAATATGATTTTTCGAAGAAACTTTCCTATAAAATTATTTTTGAAAAAAAACCCGTTTAGTAATATAAAAAGCATGCACGCAAAAAACAAGAGGGGGTTGAGAACACAGACAAATGAACGCAGCCAATAGTTCATAAAAAACAAGATACAAAGTTTATTAATATATTTGACAGCTAATTTTATCTCCTCTTATGCCCCTTCTTACTTTGCAACATTCTTCATAAAGAACTCGCTGCCCGCACTTTGCTAGGGTACCAGAGCAAGCTTGCCAATCACCACTGCAAGAACGAATGGCCCGTACACTACTACCCTTGAGATTGTGAGAATGTCATGAAATCTGCGTGCTGCTTTTTGACACAATGTATATTGTAACATGGAGTTTACATATGTTGTAAAATTGTTTGTTGTGTTTATTGAACACACATGAACTACGAAATGATCAACACCACACATTCCTGTAAACATTCTACATTAGTGTCGAAATACCACCGGTGTAATTTGCCAAATTGGTGAAATTGACTTCAGATCATCAGCTATGTGTGGCAACACTAGGAAATTCCCCTATTTTCTTGTTCCAGTCAATATATTCTGGTGCCTGTAACTATGTGTGAACATTATCGTCCCAACCACATAACTTCTTCTCACTAGCTAGAGAGTGATGAAATAATCTGAGATAGATCGCCTGATCAAAGCAACGACCAACAACTTGAGGAAAATAATACTCAAATTAAACATGTTCGCATCAGATATCTGAAGTATCTTGTGGGCTTGCTTCTCATACGAAGCACATATGCATCAGTCACATCCTTCAAGCAATCCATGCCATAGCAGTTTGAACTCCATAGAGTAGCTCCATGAAGGGGCGAGTCATCAAGATCAGAGCTACACAACCCGGTACATTGCCTTCTTCAGCTCTTCATCTGCATTCCCACCATCCCTTGTGACAATATGCAACACTAGCACCATTCTGGATGTCTCCTAACCCTAGATTTTTCTTGTTAATCAACGCTTACCATCATTCTCGCAATCGGTTGCACACTCTTATAATAGTATGGTTGTGTATACTTCAGGGTGTGGTCTTGCTTCAAGAAAACAAGAAATCTCCATGGAGAGTTGTTGTAAATAATATACACAGACACTCTTCTCGGCCTTTTGTGTGCCCTCTAGCTAGGTTAATTATTATCACCAGAAGGCATCTCTATGTACCTTCATTAGTACAATGCTTGTAATTTTTTATCTTTAAAAAAAAACTGCTAGACACTTGATATACCAATTTTCCCCCCTCTTTAAGGAGATCGATTGCTATTGCAGATGATTTATCACTATTATGTGCACACTATTCACACGCCCATTTTAGAAGGTAGAATACACATTTCTGTTAGCTGGCACCCATTTGTCTGCTTTGGATAGCGCAAGGATGTAAAATGGTTGGTATCAGAGTTTTTTTTTTTTTTGCGGGGTTGTTGGTATCAGAGTTGAAGGGGTAAATCGGATTTTCACAATAGTGGAACCTAAATTTGATATATGCCACCTTGAAAACTAATCAAACTATTTGTTTTGTTTATTGAAGGCACATGAGCTACAAGCCTACAACATGATCAGCACCATACGTTCTTGTAAACACAATGTCATAATACATTAATACTTCTAGTGTAATTTACCAAATTGGTGTGATCGACGTCAGGTTGTCGATTATGTATGGTGTGCAACACTAGGAAATTCCCATGTTTCCTAGCGATAGAATTGATTTTGTTTGAATTATAAGCAACTAGGGATTAAATAAGGATTACCATTGCAGCGTGTGCTCATCTATGTTGTGATAAAATCGATGAGCTTGGGAATGGTAATCCTTATTTAGTGGCGGCAAGCACAGCCGGCGGGCTGTGGCAACACGTTGATCGGCAGCGATCAATCTGTCGACGGCTACGGAAGATAGGTCTACGCGGCCAGGCCTCATGAAGTCGTGATCTCTACCTCTTATCTCTTCCTTTTTAGTTTTTTTTATAATGGGGAATCATAAAGAGGCCTTAATTGAAATCCAATAACCTAAATTCATCCCATCATCATGGATTTGTCGAAAATCCTATGGTAGAAAGTATAATCTATTTAATTTGTCAATGTGATGAACTCTACCTATGCACGATCCCCGACCATATATCGGAGCAATGGTAAAGAGTCGATTTTTTAGCCCCTCTTTTGATTATTTTTTCGAAAACTATGAATAAAGCCTGGGATATTACAGGAGGCTAGCTATCAATTGAAGAAGGTGAGGAATTAGCTGTATTGTGTATAGGATATCGTGCTTTAGACATTACTATTGCAGAGGATTCCTCTTGTGCATTTTTTTGTTCATATCTGAGCCACACATCCAAGAAAGAATGGTTGCGAAAGTTACAACTCCCAACAGTTGCTTCTTCTTCTTCCCAATTTCTTCCTAGTTCACAACCTGAAACAAGTGAAAGCAAGGAATAAATTGTGAGTTATTTTCCACCAAAAAGGTGCCTACAAACCCAAGCCGCTAGAATTTAGATAGACTGGTCCAAGATGTAGGTGGTGAACCTGAAAACTGAGCCGTAGCAAATCCAGGAAGTTCAGATATTGCAAAGCAGAGGAAACAGAGTAGAGTTTCAGTGGAAAGGCTGAGAGTTGTGGGGCAAATTTCTCCTCCATTATTTTCTGGAATTCAGAAGTGCGTATAAAGCAAGGTAGAAGAAAGAGTAAAAGTTTCAGTGCAAAGCCTAGCTATTTAAACAACACCAAGTCAGGGTCTCGTGCCATCCCAAAGGACTGTGGTACTGCAGAAAAGTGCATCACAACTATGAGCGTGGAGGTTCATCCCTATGTTATCGTCTTTAGCTCTTCCAGTACATTCCTATCATCCATTGATAGAAGATGCAACGCTAGCATCATTGCTGATGACTCCTAATCCTAGATTTGCCTTGTTATAACACTTGTTTTATCATTCTCATGGTTAGTCGCATATGTAAGATCAAAGTGTGTTTTGATTCTTATTCTGTGATGAACAATTGGCATCTGTGATTATTGGTTTTGATATTTGGAGATTATCGTCGAAGTGGTTTTGGAGATAATCAATTTTCAGGTGATGATCGGATTCACTGTTATTTTATGTGACCGGTCCGACCGGGTGGTGTATGCCGGTCAGATCGGTGGTGATCGAGCGGTCAGACCGGCCGGCCCACGGTCTGACCGGCCGACGCTGTGTCGGTTTCGGTTTCGGGTTGTTTCTTTGGATATCCGTGATTGTTTCATGGTTATGGCTTCTAGATGGATACCATACGTATATAATACTGTTGTTTGCTAACAATGAGTCAAGTTGGTGATAGCTTGGTCTCAGAATATGGTTTCTTTGTTTGTTTCATGTGTAGCTGACTCGATGCCTCGAGAGAGTATTTGCGGTGATGGACCGGGAGTCGGCTTGGTGGTAAGACGATGTCCGTGGTGGTCAGATATCATGCGGGATACTAAGGCTAGAGTTGATGCACGTGGTTGGTGAAGATTCCATATGGCATACGATGGAGGTATTGTGTGCGTATGGGATGCGGAGTCGAATTTGGAAGGAGTCCAAATTTGGTACAATTGGTTATGTAAAGTTTGTGTCTTGTACTAGAGGGTTTCTTAAGGTGTTTAGGACTCTTAGTATGAGTTTGGTTCGTGGCTTTAGGCTGCCTACCTCATGTATAAATAGAGGGGGAGCGTGAGGCTTCCCGGTATCGTTTTTGTATCGCTTTTGAGAGCAACTGAGTTGCTAGTTTCGTTAGGGTTTCGAGTTTAGTCGAGATTTTTGTAAGGAGTGCTGTTGGTGCACTTTGTAAACACAGAGAGAAGTAATAAAGTTGTTGTCTACTTTGAGAGTTCTTCGATTTGTGTTTCATCGGGTTTCGACGGTCTAACCGGCGACATACCGGCGGTCAGACCGGCGGCAGGTGGCGGTCAGACCGACGGAGGAGAGGCGATCAGACCAGCGGCGACTTCACACGCGGCAGGCAATCTTCAGGCGGTTGGACCGGCGGATCAACACCGGTCAGATCGGTGGCACAAGCTCGGTCAGACCGGCGGATCAACCTCGGTCAGACCGATCTACATCGAATTTGAGGGTAACTTTTATTTCCGCTAAAAGTTTGGGTTTTTGGGTATATCAACCATTCACCCCCCCTCTGGTTGGCTTAGTTCTTGTGATTCGATCCTACAAGTGGTATCAGAGCTTTGTTTGCTTCTTTGGATTTTAACCGATCTAGAGTTTTTGCCATGGCTGCTTCTAATAAGTTTTCAACTAAGCCTCATGTTTTTTATGGAACGGATTTTTCTCATTGGTGTAGTAGGATGCAATCTTACATTATGGCTGAGAATTATGATATTTGGAGAAAAGTTTCTCTTCCTTATGTGATTCCCGAAGTTATTAATACTGCTGCTGAAAAAATTGCTTTTGAACTGAATTGCAAAGCTCGCAATATTCTTTTGAGTGGGATTTCTCGTTCGGATTATGATCGTGTTGCTTATCTTCAAACTGCTCATGAGATTTGGGTTGCTTTGAATAATTTTCATCAAGGTACAAATAACATTAAAGAACTTCGTCGTGATCTTTTCAAAAAAGAGTACATTAAATTTGAGATGAAACCTGGAGAAGCTTTGGATGACTATCTTTCTAGGTTTAATAAAATTTTGAGTGATCTTAAATCTGTTGATTCTTCTTATGATGCTAATTATCCACAATCTGAGATTTCTCGTCACTTTTTGAATGGTCTTGACATGTCTATTTGGGAGATGAAAATTACATCTATTTAGGAGTCTGTGAACATGTCTACTTTGACTTTGGATTCGCTTTACACAAAACTGAAAACTCATGAGATGAATATTCTTTCTCGTAAAGGTGATTCTAAGTCTAGTGCTTTGGTTTCGTCTTCAATTTCTTTGGATGTTGGTGCTTCCTCATCGAAGTCTTCTGTTCTTGCTTTATTTAATGCCATGTCCGATGATCAACTCGAACAGTTCGAGGGGGAGGACTTGGTTTTGCTATCTAACAAATTTTCTCGAGCTATGAAAAATGTTAGGAACAGGAAAAGAGGAGAACCGAATCGTTGTTTTGAGTGTGGTGCACTTGATCATCTTCGCTCGCATTGTCCTAAGCTTGGGAGAGGCAAGAAGGAAGATGATGGTAGAGTCAAAGATGATGACGTGAACAAGAAGAAGAACATGAAAGAGAAGGAGAAGAAGAAGCATTGTATGAAGTGGTTAATCCAAGAACTCATAAAAGTTTTTGATGAATCGGAAGATGAAGATGAGAGCAAAGGTAAGCAAGTTGTTGATCTAGCTTTTATTGCTCGTAATGCAAGTTCTGATGTTGATGAATTTGATGATGATAATGAAGAAAAGCTTAGTTATGATCAATTAAATATGCTGCTTACAAATTTGCTAAGAAACTTCAAACATGTTCTATTGTGCTTGATGAGAAGGATCATACGATTGAGATTCTTAATGCTGAAATTGCTAAATTAAAATCTTTGATTCCGAATGATGATAATTGTCAATCTTGTGAAGTTTTATTTTCTGAAATTAATGCTTTACGAGATGTCAATTCTGTTAATTGCAAAAAATTGGAATTTGAGATTGAAAAATCTAAAAAGTTAGAGTCTTCTTTTGCTCTTGGATTTGCTTTCCATACTCGTGTTGTTGATGAGTTGATTTTGACAAAGAACGTTTTGAAAAAAATACAAAGTTGCTTTTTGTGCAAGTTCTTTGGTCAATGCTTCATGTGCAAATAAGGCAAAACAAAACAATGGTGTTTTGATTTCTCAAGATTGTTCAAAGTGTGTTTTGAATGAGTTGAAGTTGAAAGATGCTTTAGAGCGTGTTAAACACATGGAAGAAATTGTTAAACAAGATGAGGTGTTTTCTTGCTCAACTTGTAGAAAACAAAAAGGTCTTTTGGATGCTTGCAAAAATTGTGCTATTCTTACTCAGGAGATTTCTTATTTGAAAAGTTCTTTGCAAAGATTTTCTGATGGTAAAAAGAACCTCAACATGATTCTTGATCAATCTAAAGTTAGCACACACAATTATGGTTTAGGTTTTGATTCTTATGCTCATCATACTAGATATCCTCCTACTGTTTTGGGTGTTGCTAGGAGAGGTGAAATTTTGATTGAAATTGAGCCTAAGAACACTGTGTTTAAATATGCTGGCATCATGTCTTCTTTGAATGCATCTTCTTCGAAATCAAATGTTGTGAATGCAAAACCTTCTGTTGTTGCAAAACCATCAATTTAAAAACCATCTACCTCACAAACTTGTCGTGAGAAGTACACTTGTTCTTTTTGTGGAAAAGATGGACATTTGGTTGGTTTTGTTTTAGACTTGCCCATAAACAGAAAAAGGAAAGAGAAATTGCTTTTGCAAAACGACGTTGGCAAAAATTGGGTTTTAATTCGAGGACCACAATTAGACCGACACTGACCAGTCGGTCAGACCGGCTAGCGGTCAAACTGCAGATGAACCAGTGGTCAGACCGGTTGCCAGGCCCGGTCAGACCGTAGGTACAATGGCGGTGAGACCAGCCTCGGGGCAATTTTGTGCGAAATTCAACTCGGACTTTTGTGAAGCAAAAAAGGTAAGTTTTCTGGTAAGTCTGATTCTGATTTTGTAAGTGCGTATGTACCTATTGGTTCTACAGGTCGTGTAACTCAGTGTTGGATTCCAAAATTTCTTATTTCTAACCCCAACACGGAGGCCTCGACATCTTCTCGTTCGTAGGTATTTTGGCGGCATACTCCCCATGAGTGTTCAATTTTGAGATGACGATTGCTTCACAAGGTAACATCAATTTAATTTTGGATTGACATATTTTTGGTTCTACTTTCTTAATTATTAGCTTTTCATATGCTAGTGTTTGAGGTAGTAGTTTTTGTTAATACAAGTGTATACATGTCAATTCATGAGAATCTTGGTGATATCATTGGCAATTGGATGTCTTTTTCAAAATATTTGATTTCTTCTTGATTTTTGTTCGGGGAGAATGGAGGTTATTTTGAGGGGGAGTTAGTGCTTTTTATGACTTTCTTTTGGCATGATTTGAGGGGGAGTTTGTACCTCATGGTTTTATCAAGCAAAAATATGACAATGAAAAAAATTGATAAAAGAGAGCTTTGTTTATACATATGGTATTTTCTTGTGCATGCTAGTAATACTTTAAAGGTTTATTTGTCTGTAGCATAGCTTGTATGTATTCTAGTCTCTTCATGAGATTTAGATTTTGCTTTTAAGGGAGATGATGCATGACACTTAAATTCTATACTTGAATTAAGCAAATATGCAATGTTGATGCTAGCATATGGTTTGATTTATAAATGCTTTATATATATGCTTTATTGACTTGTTATTCCTCAAATAGCTTTAATTGATCATTGTGAAAAAGAGAATAAAAATATCAAAAAAAATGAATACCGAATCCTTGGAAACAGTCTTGACGACAAGGACGTTTTCGATGTGAGCAAAATAATGGGTGCCGAATCCCTGGAAACAGTCTTGACGACAGGGACGTACCCGGAATAAAAAGAGAAAAATATGAGCAAAAAGGCTCAAGAAAAAGAAAAAGTTAAAAATTCTCTTGGTTGTTTTGTGCTAAAGGTTATTTGAGAAAGAGTGATAAATGCAATAGGTATATGTGTTTAGTGTTTATTCTTCAACCTATGTGCTTGTAAAATTGTTGCATTATAAATCGTATGAAATCATGAATTTTGATTGTTGATTCAAGCTTAATTGTAAAATCTTTGGTTTATGGTTATACTTTAATGCATGCTTGTTCTATTATAGATGGGTTCATCTTCTTTTTGTTGCAACACAAGACTTGATATGCTATGTGTATGCTAAGCTCTTGAACATTAATGAACATAATTCCTATGCTTGATGAAATCATTGTCAAAAGGGGGA